CCTTGTTGTGCGTGTCGGGGTTTGGGGGCGGTGGGGGCCCTGCCGGTCTCTGTTCCGGGTGCGGCCGGGCCCCGGCGTGGGTCTGGGCCATGCTTGATCAGCTCTCGGCATCCCTTAGTCAGCCAGGTCGACCCCACAGTCATTGTCACACCTCTGAGCGCCCGGCCAGCCCGCGGGCTTGCACGTGCCCCTCACGTGTGCTGAACACCCAGCTGCACCCCTGCAGGCAGAGTGAGGGGCCCGCGGCTCCCACCTGCAAAGCTGCTCCTGCTCTCCCCCCGTCTCTACCCTGCCTGCTCCACCTCTGCTCTCCCCTATCCCCCTTTCTCCATCCTGCCTGCTCCACCCCTGCTCTCCCCGCTCCCCCTTCTCCATCCTGCCTGCTCCACCCCTGCTCTCCTCGCTCCCCCTTCTCCATCCTGTCTGCTCCACCCCTGCTCTCCCCGCTCCCCCTCCATCCTGCCTGCTCCACCCCTGCTCTCCCCGCTCCCCCTCCATCCTGGCTGCTCCACCCCTGCTCTGAGCCTGGCACTCTCCTTCCCCAAGGGCCTTGTATGTTGGGGAGCTTGGAGGGACGGGGCTCCTCTGTGAAGGAGCGGTGCTGTCCCACACCAGGGCGGGGGCCCCTCTGAACCTCCTTCCAAGAGTTCTTCCCGACCTCCCCTGCAGGGACGTGGACACGGTGCTCTCTCGGGCCAATGCCACGGAATTTGGCCTGGCCTCCGGTGTCTTCACGAGGGACATCAGCAAGGCCCTGTATGTGAGCGACAGGCTGGAGGCGGGCACCGTGTTCGTCAACACGTACAACAAGACGGATGTGGCCGCTCCCTTCGGAGGGTTCAAGCAGTCCGGATTTGGCAAAGACCTGGGTAACCTGGTCCTGCCTTTGGGGTTGCTTTCATTTATTCATTCAACAAACATTTGCAAAAGACCACTTGGTGCCAGGCCCTGCCCGGGTGCTGGGGTACAGCGGTGAGCAAGGTGGCCCTTAGGGTGCTCGCTTCTTGCTGGAGGGACAGGTGATAGTTAAGTTGGCGAACTAGGAGCTGCAGAGGGGGGAATGCCAGGCCAGGACGGTGAAGGGGCAGAGGCCAGCAAGGGCGGGCTGGGGGGACAGTGGCCCTCGAGGCCTGAGGGCACTTTCCTGGCAGAGTGACAGCAGGGGCTGGAGTTGCAGGGGGCCGAGTGGTTGCTGCTGGGTGCAGGCAGGGAAGAGGGGAGAGGAGCCTGGAGGGAGGTAGGCGGGAGCGCAGGGCCTGGGGGGCACCGTGGAGTGAGGCCGGGCATGCGTGTGCCCCTGTCTTGACGGGCGTGAGGTCCCTTGTGCAGAGACACATCCGACGCTCCGCGCTGCACCCACTCAGTGCTCCTGGGCCGTGGCAGGGCTGCCCTGACGGCGCTGTCTTGCAGGAGAGGCTGCTCTGAACGAATACCTGCGGGTCAAGACGGTGACGTTCGAGTACTGAGGGAGGGTCTCCTGAGAGGAAGGCCCACCTCCCTGCGCCCAGGTCGCCCTGCACTCCTGCGTGCGCAGCCCCTCCCATTGGAAGCCCTCCTGCCTGCACCCCGCCTGTGCCGGGGACCTGTCCCGTTAGGGTGGCCCTCGGCGGGTGAATAAAGGTTCTGAGCAGCGGCTGCCCATACACGTCTCCCTGCCCTGCCCCAGGGTACAGTGGGGTGGCCCTGGAGTCACCCCGCCCTCTGCTCACAATTCCTGTAACGCCCGCTCCCTGTGAGGTGAGTGAGGACAGCAGGGCAGAGGTGTCTACTGCTGAGGCCTACTGCGGGTGCGTCCAGGGCAGCCAGCGCCTGGAGGCCGGCCCCTGCCTGCCACGGAGCAAGCGTCTCTCCAAGAGCCCCCTGCACCAGCCCCAGACAGGCCCACCCCGCCCTCACTCCCAGCAGCGGGTGGTCGGGCAGTCGGGCTGCAGTGGCTGCCTGGGCCCCAGCTCCGCTGCAGGGGCTCCGCCCTCGCTGTGGCCATGCCCCTCGAGAGACACGGGTGATCTGGTGCACCTCAACACTGTCTGGGAAGTCCCGGGAAAACAGCCCCCTCTTCTGCACAGCCGCACAGCGCCTGGAAGCCAGATGCACAGCCAGGCCCCAGGGCATCCCCGGCCTTTCCCTCCTGCCTCTCCAGAGCTTCTGGCTTGTTCAGCCTCCACGCCTGTCCACACTGGGGCCGGGCCTTTCACTCTCACATAGAGCCCTCTGTGGGGCGGGGAGTCTGGGGTTGCCTTCCCAGCTGCTCCGCACCCCCCTGGGCTGCCTGAGGCTGCAGTGAGACAGGAGGATTGGCCGGTGCTGTTTCTCTCTCTGTCTCTGTGTCTCTGTCTCATGAAACAGAGAAACCTAGAAAAAGAAAAAGACTTTGGGACCATGCCCCCACGGAGTAAATCTCAGAGACTGGGGGTGGGGAAGGGTGGTGAGGCAGCCGGCTCCCTGAGAGGAGGCCTCTGCCAGCCCAGGGGTGGACCCTGCCCTTACAGGCCCTCACAGAAGGGCGGCCCCTCCTGCCCTCCTGGGCCCACCCGTTCTGCTCAGACAGCCCCAGGGCTGGTGCCCACCGAGAGCCAGCTGGCCAGGGCCCCTCTCCCGCTCCTCCACGCCCCGACTGGGCTCAGCCCTGGCTGCCCGGGAGTGCACCCACGGCAGAGAGCAGGCCGCGTCTCCAGTACCTGCAGCTCAGACACGGGCCCCCCAGATGGACACACAGCTTGTGCTGATGGGCACCCGCCGCCCAGCCGGCCTGCAGGCCTCTGACTCCCCCTTTTGAAAACTCTCCTGAAACCAGACGGCAGGGGGTGAGACTGGCTAGGTGGCCCCGTTTCCTCTCCTTCGACCCCTTATTTGACTTGCAGTCCCCGTGTTTTACCTGGGCACACGGATTCCCCGGAGAAAGGCCCAAGTTCCCAGCCTCCTCTGCAGTGGGTGACGGTCACGGGCCAGGTTATAGTGCACAGGGGAGTGGGACGGGGCCACAGCGCAGACACGTGCAGCTGCCCCCACCCCCGCACGGGGCTGCAGCAGCCCCGGGGGGCACGGTGTGAGCGTCCTACCCTGCAGGCCTGCCAGCACCTTGGGGTGGGGCTTGGATCCCACATCAGGGGGTGCCTGTGGACCCGAGGTGACCTGCCGACAGTCACCTGAGAGTGAAGCTTCCACTCTGTCTTTTTTTTTGGAGAGATTTTCACTGTAGGGCGCGTGCGCTCGCCAGACAGAGAGAGACATAGAGACAGAAAGCGAGAAATCACCCCCCGGGGGGGATGGTCACACCGCAATCCCTTCTCCTCCATTCTCCTCTCGGGATCTTGGGCACGCACGCACACACGCCCGGCATGAGTTTTAAGCCACCGGGTCCGGGACGTGAACTGCGGTCGACTACGTGGGAGTCCAACGACATAGCCATTACGCTAACTGCTGGTTCCCACACTCTGTCTTTTTGTGATATTAAAGTGACCACCTGCCACCTGCTCGGAGGGGCTGCAGGTGCTTTAGAAATGTAATAAGCTAAGGCCCCGCCCTGCAGCACAGCGGCCATGCGTTTCTCCAGACACGGTCTGAAACCCTGGCCTGGTCTGCGGGGACACCCGGGCACCTGTTTCCAATATCCAGAGCTGGAGGGCCTGGAGACGGGGACTGTGTGACCAGGTCGCACGGGGGGTGCTTCTCTCTCTCCGTGGGCCCCAGCACGGATAAAGAAATCATGTGTTTAATGAAAACGACTGAGAGAAAGTACCCACGGGACGGGCCAAGGGAAGGTGCGGAGAGAGCGAGTGGGGACATGGCTGGCGCGGATCCTCCTCGCCCTGAAAGCTCACGCCCTCCCAAAGCCAGGCCAGGCCAGCTCAGCGCTTTCCCAGCCGACCCGGGCCTCGGTCACATGTCCACGTGACAGGAACACACTCGTCTTCCAGAGGACAACCGTCCCAGGGAAAGACGTCCACGCCCGTGTCCTGGAGACTGTCAGTGTTTCCGGGACACCGCGCCGTTGCCTGTGCCTCCGTCACGGGGTGGCATTTCTTCCGAGCTTTGCCGGGGCAGGCTGAGCGCTCAGACCTCGGCTGTGCACGTGACCTATGGGTGGCCGTGTGCGGGGGCCAGCGCCGCGCTGAGCTCTGGGCCCCTCTTTAATGCAGGCGTGGCGAGGCGGAGAAGTGGGAACAGAGAGGCCTTTGCAGGCAGAGCCCGCCCGCATTCAGAACAAACGCCCCTCTGCTGAAACTGGAGGCGCGGGAGCCCACAGAGCTGCAGGCCGGGTCGCATGTGGGATGAGGACGGCCGGAGGGGTGGTCTGCCAGGCTGGCGCTGTGGGCCAGGAGGAGGGAGCGGGCTGGACCCCCTCCCCTTCCCCGCCCAAAGTCGATGACTCCATGTTTTCTGTGCTCTGTCGGAATGGCCGCTTTTGGACAAACCAAAGAGGGGCTATTTCCGTAGTCCTGTGGCAGGGGCTGCAGACTGCAGAAACTGAGGCCACCACAGGGCGCGGCCGGGCCCTCGTCACCCCAAAGGGCTGCTTCTCCCGGCTGGACGTGCGGGCATGCCTCCGAGCACCTGCTTTCCGTCCCGACGGGTGGCTGGAGGGCACCAGCCACGGCGCGAGTCAGCCACGGCGTGTGCCACATGCTGGCTGGGGGAGGGCCGGTCCCCCCACACTGACTGGAGTGGGGTTCTTCTCACAGGAAGCTCGGTCTAGGAAAGCCACTGGGAAGTAACCACAGAGGCTCCAAACGCAGACGTGAAAGTGGGGGAATGTGCCTAACGTAGCTCGTGTCCTCTGAGCCACCTGTAAGCCCACAGCGTGGCCTGTCAGAGCTGTCAGGTCATCTCGGAACCGTGACCATCTGTCCCAGAGCCTGCCACCCCAGACCGGAAACTCCTCCGGGAGAGGAGACAGCCCGTCACTGTCCACCGCGGGCCAGGGCACGGGGAGTGGACGAGAGCAGACGCACATTCCCAACGAAGTGCCACTTTACACCGCGGGCCACTCAGGGTCTTCCTTTATTCATGACAGAGCGTGTGTACGCGAGAGGGCTAGCGGCAGGCCCGCCCTCCACAGGGTCCGGCCACCTGCAGCCCCGCCCTCCGGTCCTCCACCTGTCACATCTCGGGCACCCACACGCGCGGTGCGCTCCAGGCAGGCCGGGCTGCGGCCGCCATGTGGGACCCCGCTTCTCCCGAGCAGGGTGCTAGCACTGTGCCACATAGCTGGCCCGATTTAACTTTGTGTGTGTGTGTGAGGTTTTTGCTGTAGGGCACGTGCGCTTGCCAGAAAGACAGAGAGACAGCGAGAACCCACCCCTCGGGGGGAGGTGGGGGATGGCCACGCCGCAATCCCTTCTCCTCCATTCTCTTCTTGGGATCTTGGGCACGCGCGCCCGGCATGAGTTTAAGCCACCGGGTCCAGGACTTGAACTGCGGTCGACTACATGGGAGTCCAGCGACACAGCTTTTACGCCAACTGCTGGTCCCCCCATTTAACTTCTAACAAATGCCACAACGACCTACCCCAGCGCACTGTGTCCTGTGTCACACAGGCAGTCAGCGCTCAAGGCACGTCCAGGAGCGGCGCACTGTGTCCTGTGTCACACAGGCAGTCAGCGCTCAAGGCACGTCCAGGAGCGGGTGCCCTGCTTGGCGTGCTCTTCCACATATGGCTCCTCTCCAGATGTGGCCGTGGCCCTGGCCCCGCCAGCCTTCACGCGGCCCAGGGGACGTGGCTCTGCAGCTCGGGGGAGGGAACAGGCTGCCCGCGTTCCCGCCACCCGGGAAGGGACTGGCTCCGGACCTCTCCCCTTGCCAGGCCTCCTCAAAGCGAAGTCAGCTAAACCTATTTTTAGTGCAGGGCCTGTCTGCGCTGGCCCTGTGGGTCAGGCTGAGGGAGTTCCACAGCCTGGAGGTGCTGTCCTGGGGTGCGGGAAGCCAGGCTGACAGGCCAAGCGCAGCCAGACGTGAGCCAGAAGTGCACGGGTGTGGCCGTCCTGTCCTTCACGGGCTGCCCCCTCTTCCCGGGCCACACTGGGTCCCCAGAGCTGGGCCAGGTGCTTCTGACGCTCCAACCTCAAGGGAGACCAGCAGCTTCACCGAGGCCACGGCAGAGTCCTTGCCTGGGGGCCGCTGTAAGTCCTCCTGCCCAGGCCTCTGCAGCAGCTGTGCTGTCCCTGGGCCATTTGGGTGGAGAAGGCTTCTAGGTGTGGCCTGGGGGTTAGTGACAGAGGACTGTGCGTGGCCCCTGAGCCCGGCCGGGCTGTCACTGAGCCCAGGAGCAGCGATGTACGAGTGTGTGGCTGTCACGGTGCGCTCTCGCGGGCTGGCTGGGGACATCCTCTCCACACCTGGGCTCGGGGCCTGCCTATTGCAATCTTAAAGGGGACCGCTGGGCTGAGCTCAGATGCCGCCCTGTGGCCGGCCTGCTTCCACTGAGGTAGGGTCTGTGCTCAGATTGGTGGGTTTTCAACTATGGGCGACCGTGCACCCCTGACTGGGGGCGCTCAGTCAGCCACGTGAAGCAGGTCTGGGCCTGGTGGGAGGTGGCGCAGCTCAGGGAGGGAGAGGAGGGTGAAGTGCTGCAGACCTGGCCCGGACTCCCTGGGCCTCAGTTCTGCAGGTGCTTGAGTCTGCTGGGCACTCCAGGTCCTGGT